ACACACACACACACACACACTTTCTCTCTCTCTCTCTCTCTCTCTCTCTCTCTCTCTCTCTCACACACACACACAGGCACACACACACGCCTTCTCTCTCATCACGAGCGCACACATTATATACATCATGACTGAGCCATACAAACACAAAATATTGTAATATACAAAATGCCATCTGTAGGTTAACTATTGTACATAGAATAGATACCTGGTCATTTACATAATATTGTACTGAAAATGAAACTACTGGGTTAGAAGTGATTTCAATAAATCATAACTATACGTGAAGTTTCCATAATACCCCGAGAGGCGAACTCGATGAAATGCTTGATCAGCTGTCTTTGTAGGTAAGCGAAAAATTCAAGGTCGTTTGATGGTGCCGTATCGGCTTCGTTTGTGAAGCAGTCTACCTTAGTTCGAGTCGTACCTGGCTTTCAGCAACTTTGATCCTGCTGTGTGTGGTGCAAACATATTCTTTTTCGACGACATCAACGTTATATTATATTAATTTTCGGCAATTGTCGAAAACAGGTCGATCTCTTTTACCGGCAGTTCTATCATTAGATGGAAAATTATCAAAGCAGGTTCATTTACTTGGATATGATGACCAGTTTAGTGACTTTTGTGTCCCCACTATTACGTTTTGTACCAAAAGAGGGCTGTGGCATAGTGAAAAAAGAAGGGAGATAAAGAGTTAATGATTTGAATTGTGTTGATGGATGTGTCAAGCATTCACAACCAAGTCACGGAAAGGTCAAAATGGAGCAGTGAAATAGGAGTTAGGAGTTACAGTTTGTCCACCAAGTCCAGATAGAGGTCATGCTCGAACTCTGGCACAGTCGAAAGATTAATTCCATAAACTTTACAACAGCCTATTTGCTGCCACAGGTTTAATTCCCCTAACACTTAAATTAGATTGTTTCTATCAAAGGGTTAATTCCATAAAACTTACCCCAGCCTGTGTGCTATCAAAGGGTTAACACTTACATAAGACTGCTTTCTT